AGCTAATACAGCTGGCCAAGCTTCTTGAGGAAGCTTGGCCAAAGGGTTCAAGCTTCTAGAAGGAAAGGGGGGTCAAAGGCTCACACAAGCCAAAAACTGCACGGGGAGGAGTGATGGTGCATTCCAGCTGGCACAGCTGGCATGCACCATGCCTCAAGGGTGCAAAGGAGTCGCACCGGCCAGCAAAAGAGGTCGCCGGCAGAATAAAGTGCCGGCCGGCCAAATATAGTACCGACCGGCCATTGATTTTAAGAAACCATGGCCGGTGGCACCCATAAACAGCCGGTGATGCTAAGGGAAGTCCGGTGGAATGTGGGATGGCCAACAAGGCATTCCCCTCCCTTCAAGGCAAAAGCACAAGTGTTTGGTGCCAAAGCCAAACACGGAACAGTCAGGTCGAGAGATCCTGAGGCACGGCGCGCAACCAAGACTTTCGGGAACTCAAGACGAAACACAAACAAAGAGGATCACCGAGTGTTCCAAAGGTGACGTCCAAGTCTTGAGGACGGTCAAAAATGGGGTGTCTACACATGGGAAATTTTGTGACCTCAACTGTTGAGGAGAAAGGCAAGGTGGTCCTAAAGATGACTTCAAAAAAAGAGCTAACTCTGAACAATGTCCTATATGTACCGAACATTTGTAAGAACCTTGTCTTAGGGTCTTTCTTAAGCAAGCATGGCTTTCGCATGGTGTTTGAGTTTGATAAGGTCGTGTTGAGCAAGAGCGGAGTCTATGTGGGAAAGGACTATATGTCGGGCGGTATGTTTAAGCTCAACATAATAACTAATCTCCCTAAGATGAATGAGAAAACTTCTTCTTCTGCTTATATCCTTGAGTCCCTGAATTGTGGCATGGTAGACTAGGTCATATGAATTTTGACTCTTTGCGTAGATTAATCAAGTTAGATCATATGCCATCTTTGAAGATTAATCCAAATCACAAATGTGAGACTTGTGTAGAAGCAAAATTCACAAGAGCTTCCTTTCATTCTATTGAAACAAGTACTGAGCCTTTAGATTTAGTGCATAGTGATGTGTGTGACTTGAAAGTCATATAATCATGTGGTGCCAACAAGTACTTTCTCACTTTTGTTGATGATTGCACTAAATATTTTTATGTGTATTTGCTTAAAAACAAAGATGAGGGGATTGATAATTTATTCTTTTTAAAAATGAAGTTGAGAATCAACTAAGCCAAAAGATCAAGACTTTAAGAAGTGATCGTGGTGGAGAATATGAATCGCCATTAATTGAGATTTTTGCTCAATCTAAAATTATCCACCAAACTACAACGCCTTATTCCTCTCAATCAAATGGTGTTACTAAGCGAAAAAAAAAGGATGTTAAAGGAAATGGTGAATGCAATGTTAATAAGTTCTGGGTTGCCACAGAAGAAAAAGTGGACAAGACTCTGTATGAATTATGGAAAGGCCACAAGCCTTATTATTTCCTATGAATGTGGGGGTGTCTTGCAAAAGTAGCGGTACCTACACCCAAGTGGGTTAGAAAAGGTTCAAAAATCGGGGATTGTATATTCATTGGTTATGCGCAGAATAGTAGTGCATATAAGATTCTTGTGCACAAGTCTAATATTTTAGATATACAGGAGAATACCATTATGGAGTCAGAGAATGCATCTTTCTTTGAGAACGTATTTCCTTGCCAAACCCGAGGAGATGATCAAAGTTCTGAGAAGGAACTTAAAAATAATCCTAGAGATAATGATCAAGATGAGAAAGTAGCTGAGCCAAAAAGGAGTAAGAGGGCTAGGACTTCCATGGTCCAGACTTCTTGACTTATATGTTAGAGGGAGAACCTCAAACTTTTCATGAAGCTGTGATTTCACCTGAAAGTCCTTTGTGGAAAGAAGCAATTAAGAGTGAGATTGACTCCATCTTACAGAACTGTGATAACCCAACCCGTATTATGCTTAATTATGCATGTGATTATGTGTTTGATATGAATTTTCATGTGTAATTATGTGATTTATATGATTTTGAAATTATATCTGTTACTTGTAGGAAAATCTATTGCAATTATAGCTTTGAATTGAAAATTGAAGCCTTAGAGGCACTAGAAATCAAAACCAACTTTATATCTATGTTTAGTATGATTTTTAGAGCCTAGTATGAAATTTTGTAAAATTACAATTCGTAATGAACTAATTGAGCTTAATTAGAGTAAACTAACTTAAGTTCAATTAGCTTAAGTTATATATATGTATATAGACATTAAGACTTAAAATGAGGTCTTGAACTTGTCTATTATCAACAAAACACTTGCTAGAGAGGGTTAGAGAGAGAGAGAGAGGAAGAAGAGAACTCCTAGAGTTGAAGAAGAGAAACAAGGGAGATTGCTAGATTCAAGGAGAAAACTCAAGATTTGAGTTAAGGTATCAAAATCCCTCTAGAATCCTTGTGATAACTCATTTTTTGTTTGGAATCAAGAAGGAATTTGAAGATTTATAACCTATATGAGTTAGGGTTTTGGGTTGTGTGATTGTTTGAACTAAATTCAAGAAATTGAGCCCTAATCTCTTCAACTTTGCTTGATTTGAGTTCAACCTTGGGAATGCTTCATGAAATGAGGTCTAGGGTTTTCATACAACAAAGATTTGTGTAAGCATTATCCATGTATATATGTATTTTGAACTTGATCATGTGATTCTTGAATTTATGGAAAAGATGAGTGCTTGGTCTTGAACTTTAAGCAAGATTCACATGTTTAAGTTGAAATTACACTTGAATCGTGCTAGTATATCATGTTTTTGAGTTAGTTTTGCATGAATTTGGGCTTGGAAATGAGTTTGAAAAATTACACTATGTGCCATTTTCGGACTGTCTGGTGTTCATTTCATTAGCAAAAATTTGAAAAATGAGCCCAGACCGCTTACATGGATAATCCTTACACAAATTTTTGATGTATGAAAACCCTAGAGCTCATTTCAAGAAGTATTTCTAAGATTGAACTCAAATCAAACAAAGTTGAAGAGATTAAGGATCAATTTCTTGAATTTAGTTCAAACAATCACACAACCCAAAACCCTAACTCATATATGTTACAAATCTTCAAATTCCTTCTTGATTCCAAACAAAAGATGAGTTATCACAAGGATTCTAGAGGGATTTTGATACCTTAACTCAAATCTTGAGTTTTTCCCTTCAATCTAGCAATCTCCCTTGTTTCTCTTCTTCAACTCTAGGAGTTCTCTTCTTCCTCTCTCTCTCTCTAATGAGCCCAGACCGCTTGAAAAATGAGCCCAGACCGCTTGCATGCAGCGCTCTATTTTATGAAAAATGAGCAGTCTGGGCTAATTTCATTAGCAAAAATTACACTCATGCGGCTATGAGCTCTGCATGAGCAGACACATGAATCAAAACAGGGGAGCACATTTTGCTGCTCAAGCGGCCAACCCTTCCACACAAGTAGAACCTGACCGCAAGAGCAGTGAGGCTTATCGCACAAGCGGGCAGTAGGGGAAAATTATGCTTCTCTTTTGTTGACCTCTCTGACCTTCTGAATGCATTCTTGACCTTATTTAAGAAGTCCGAAAAATGAAATAATGATTAGAAACCCATTGAAAAAGGATTTGAATTATTAAAAGAAAAGTGTATGAAATGGAATGAATTATTTATCGAATGTATATGTGTGAAATGTTGTGTAGGTCGAGTGCCGAAGGGAACGCCGCAAGATCAAACACACTGTGAGTAATAGTATTGTGAAGATATGTTCTTAATTAATTATTTTGATCCATGAACGGTGATTTGTTGTGAAATTGTGTTTTCATTAAAATAAATGAGTTTCATTGATGTTATTTGACATATGTAATGTAGACCTAAGGTCGTTCCGTTTATACTATGATATGTTTGGGCTTGCAGCTATTTTGAACTATGTGTGGGCTTAAGGCCGTTCTGTTAATGATATGATAATATATGATTGGACTTGAGATCATTCTAAACAGCTGTTAATGTGTGGGCCCAAGGCCGTTTTGTACTATGTTTGGGCCCGAGGGCCTGAGGCCATTCCGATAAATGTTGGGCCTGAAGCTGTTCTGTAATATTAATGGACCCGAGGTCGTTCTGTAATTATGATCATGAAAACATTATGAATTTACAATGTTTTATTTACTTTGATAATGGGATCATTCATTTAAACCTCTTTACTGTATTATTACTCATTGAGCTTCGCTCACTCTATATTATGTATGCATATGTAGGTGATGAGCAGCATGGAGCCCAACCTTAGAGTTTGCTTCAGGAATTATTTTTGTGAACCCGATTGGTCGAGTCTCCAAGATGGAGCTTTTGGTTTTGACTCATCATGTTATGGCTTTTGTTTTGAGTTTGGTATGATGGTTTTGAGTTATGTAACTAAAGTATGGAAGTTCTATGGTACATAAGTTTTGAATGGACATGTAAATGTGTGAATGTGCTATGATTTAAGCAAAGTATATTTTTGATCATATTGGCACAGCTTAATGGACTTTCATCATTGTTATATGGTTCCGCTTGTGGCCCCATTATTATAATTATTTTGTATGTTTGTATGAGGTCGTAGGTCATCAAGTGATTACTGATCGATTATGGTCTAAACCTCTAGGAGCAGGTTTGGGTCATGATAGAGTGGTATCGAAGCACAAGTTGATAACTCACACACGAGTCCATTTGAGTAATAAGGAGTCTAGAAAAGGCTTAAGTTGCATTCATAATGCATCCATAACCAGGTATGACATAAAGATGGGCATTTGTAAGTGTGACTTATATGCATATTTTCTGTGAGAATTATAATACATGTTCATATAGATCATGGTGAGAACAAGTGTGGAAGAATTTGAAGAGTCGACCTCCGCACGACTCAATAGGATAGAGAGAATGATAATGGAAATGGAAAAAGCTTTTAGGCAACAACAACAACAACCACCACCAATGCCACCAATGCCAGTGTCACCGCCAGTAGTGCAAGACCACCAAGCTGAAGATCGAACCATTGCGATTATGAAAAATGGAAAAAGCTTTTAGGAAACAACAACAACAACAACAACCACCACCAATGCCACCAATGCCAGTGTCACCGCCAGTAGTGCAAGACCACCAAGCTGAAGATCGAACCATTGCGATTATGAAAGAAATCAAAAAGATGAAATTGCCATTGTTTAAAGGAGGAATTGACCCACTGAAAGTAGAGGCATGGGTGCTTGGAATTGAAAACTATTTAAAGTCTTTCCATGTACTGAGGCACAAAAAGTCTTACTTGCTGCTTTTACACTAGAAAATGAAGCACACCAATGGTGGATGCTTATTAGAGATGAACATTTGGGAATGAATTGGGCTCAATTTTTGGAAGTCTTCTATGAAAAATACTTCGCTCAATGTATCCAAGACATGAAGGTAACAGAGTTTGAAAACTTGAAGCAAGGAAATAAAACTGTAGTAGAGTATGAAGCACAATTCACTGAGCTAGCCCATTTTTCCCCTCACATGGTTGATATGGACTATAAGAAGGCAAGAAAATTTGAGAGAGGACTCCGAGATGCCAATCTAGAGAAAATTAATGTCTTGAAGCTACCAAAATATGTTGATGTATTGGATAGGGCCCTAATGTCGGAAGGTAACATGGCTAACCACAACCGGTTCTCAGATTGGAAGGGTAAGAGGCAAGGTTCTAATGTGCATAAAGGGTCAGTATCCTCACAAAACAAGAAATAGAATTTGGCAACTTCAAGCGCTTCTGGTTCTACCCAGGATTCAGCACCAACTTGCCCAGAATGTGGAAAGAAACATCGAGGAGTTTGCTACTGAGCAATCTGGGCTTGTTTCAAGTGTGGGAAAATAGGTCGTGTGGTGAGAAATTGTCCTTTGATTGAACAACAAAATGTGAATAGGCCAACTACTAGCTCAGTTGGTTCCACTCCTACAACAAAGACTACTGCGAAACCTACTTCTATTAGAGATAATGTCAGACAAGGAAGAGTCTTTGCTCTCGTTCCTGGTGATGTTCAGAATACAGAGGTTGTGGTCTTAGGTACACTCTCTGTCAATGGTCAACCTGCACATGTGTTACTTGATTCGGGCTCCACTCATTCCTTTGTTTCGAAAACACTTGCTCCTAATTTGAATAGACCTATGGAACCATTAAATTACGTGTTGTGTGTGTCTTTACCATCTAGGGGCTCTATGTTATGTGCTTCTATTTATCCTGCATGTGAGATTTTACTTGGGGATATTCAATTATATGCTAATTTGATGCCTCTTGATATGGTTCATTTTGATATAGTTTTGGGGATGGATTGGTTAAGTAAATACCACGCGACCATTGATTGTATGTCTAAATAAGTTGTTTTCCAACCTCCTGGACAAAATGAATTTACTTTTGTGGGACATGGGGTAGTTCCTTCACCCTATTTGATATCAGCTTTGAAAGCTTGTAATTTACTTTAGAAAGGTTGTAAGGGCTATTTGTGTAGTATCATGCATGTACAGACAATGGATGTGAGTGTTGATAATATCCTAATTGTTAGAGAATTTTCGGATGTATTTCCTAAGGATTTTCCAAGGGACTGCATAGACCGTAAAATTGAATTTGTTATTGATATTGTGCCAGGTACTCAATCGATTTCAAAAGCTCCTTACAGAATGTCTGCAGCATAAGTGTAGGAATTGAAAGTACAGTTGTAAGAGTTGCTTGATAAAGGGTTCATCTGACCGAGTACATCGCTACGGGGCGTGCCAGTTCTGTTTGTGAAAAAGAAAGATGGGGCACTCCAGTTATGTATTGACTATCGATAACTTAATAAGGTAACTATAAAGAATAAATACCCTTTACCACGGATTGGTGATTTATTTGATCAATTATAGGGAGCACGGGTGTTTTCTAAATTGATTTGAGATCTGGTGTCATCAATTGAAAGTCAAAATAGAAGATGTAAAGAAGACCACCTTCCAAACCAGGTACGACCATTATGAATTTTTAGTCAAGCCATTTGGGTTTATGAATGCACCAGCAACTTTTATGGATTTAATGAATCGAATTTTCAAACCGTATTTGGATGAGTTTGTGGTGGTATTCATTGATGATATCCTTATTTATTCGAAAAGTAGAGAGGAACATGAAAAGAACATGAGATTAATTCTTCAAACACTTAGAGACACAAAATTGTATGCTAAATTGAAGAAATGTGAATTTTAGTTGAATGAAATTGTATTCTTGGGGCATGTGATTAATAAGGATGGTGTGTCAGTTGACTTGGAAAAGATAGAAGCTATTGTGAACTGGCCTACCCCTACTAATGTTACAGAAGTGCATAGTTTTACAGGTTTAGCAGGTTACTACCGAAGATTTGTTAAACATTTCTCCAAGATTGCAGTGTCGCTTACCCAATTGACTCAAAAGGGTGCTCCACTCGAGTGGACAGAATAGAGAGAGTCTGCCTTCCAAGAATTGAAAACAAGGCTCACAACAGCACTGGTCCTTGTCCTACTGTCGGGTACAGAAGGGTATGTTATCTATAGTGATGCTTCTTATAAGGGATTGAGGGTGTGTACTTATGCAGAATGGCAGAGTAATTGCATATACATCTTGACAGCTAAAGCCGTATGAAAAAGAACTATCTTACGCATGACTTGGAACTAGCCGCAGTGGTTTTCGCATTGAAAATATGGCGGCATTATTTGTACGGTGCAACATGTGAAGTTTACACCGACCATAAGAGCCTCAAGTGTCACACCCCAAACCCGAGTATGAGTGGCCGTGGCCTACAGGGCCTTAGCCCAAGGCATACGTAAGCCTAAATACAAATCCATACACATTGAATAACTATAAAATAGTCCATTAATAAATAACCAAAACTCAATCCAGTGACATGCCACAAGTATAAACGGCAAAACCAACCGTAATCAATACCATCCAAACTTATGGAATATAAACAACCCACGTATCAAAATAATCCTAAATGAACCTCAATAAAAACAAATATAAATATGCACAAACTTGACATAACAGTCTAAAACAAAATAAATGAATGTCTTAGAGGTCTATGCAATTAAATCCCTGCTATGCCATGAGTCCACTCTAAGTCCTTCTAACACCTGGAAATGATAAACAACTAAGTCAGCTGATAGCTCAGTGAGTAGCAACATGGATAGTAAATACAGTTTGGAAAACAGGGTTCAATTCCAAAATAAGATATATATCACAGAAACTAGATTGGCATACAGTTTGGTAAAGACAATCTGTTTCAAAAAGAAGGTTCCACAGTTCAGCAGTTAAAATACATATGTCTCTCAAGAACATGATAAATGATATTTTCCACTTAAAGACAGATTACAACATGAACACCAATAATTTTCTGGGTACTAAGAAATAACAAGTAACATGCCACACAGTTCTTAAGGCTATAAGCTCCATTGGATCCAATGCCGAACTAAGAGTCATCCTCAGGGTGGCAACCTAGGCCTTTTCTCTAAGACGATCAAGGTTCCACAGTTCAGCAGTTAAAATACATATGTCTCTCAAGAACATGATAAATGACATTTTCCACTTAAGACAGATTACAACATGAACACCAATAATTTTCTGGGTACTAAGAAATAACAAGTAACATGCCACACAGTTCTTAAGGCTATAAGCTCCGTTGGATCCAATGCCGAACTAAGAGTCATCCTCAGGGTGGCAACCTGGGCCTTTTCTCTAAGACGATCTGATTGAAGGTCACCTAGCCTAACCTAGGTTTTTTCCTTACAATTGTTGAGGACTAGAGTCATCACAGCCCAACTCGGATCTGTTCCCTAGTGGCCAAAGTCACCACACACAGTGGAATATTTCCCTGGACTAAAATATACAGATGATCCCAATAATCAATAGACATCAGTTTCGCAAAACATGGTATTTCACCATTATAAACATGAGACCAAAAAAATAGTTTATAGTATGCCAAGTTCACACATGTTTCAGAAATAATTTGATTCCATTGATAATATAATAATTATCAAAACAGTTTAGTCATGAAACAACAATTTAATTTTCCAACAGTTCAGGATAGGGGAACATTTATAAAAATATGTAGTATGAAACTACTCACCTGAAAATGAAATAATGTAATACTTGAATAGAGTATAAAAGTCCAACTAGTGCCCTGAACCAAGTATAAAAACTACATGTCACTACTAATTTAAAAATACTAAAGACTAGGAACTAAGTAATCTCAAACTAAAGCGCACTAACACGGCTCAACCCAACTCACCGTTACTCTTAAATATTACCTAAGTTCATGTTCTTCAAGGTCTAAAATCACCCAAGACATGGGTTCCGATCGAAACTTAACAAAAAGTGACTTTAAGATAAAACAGAGTTTTAAACAAGTTTTTCCCAATCTATTCACTAACTTTGAAAATTAAAAACCCACTCCACGCTATTCTAAAAATTCCAAAACGGTACAGATGTCAACTAATATATCTTAAGTTTCAAACCCAATTGGTTTCACTTCATTTGCTTATCAAAATAATTATCTACAATTAATTATATCTAAACAGGTTGTTTTCTGCAGCACTTTAAAGAAATTAATGATTCTCTTAGTATACATGAAAAATCAATGCAAGGCCAAAAATTTACGAAACTAGACTCGTAACCGGTTCTAATGACACTAATTTGATAATTTTCGGATCTATACCCAAAGAGAACGATGCTTCCAAACTTACTACTTTAAATCAGTTTTTTGGACAGATTTGAACGCATCAGTTTATATGGATTTTGACTCCCAAAACTTATGAGAAAATTCAGATATGAAATTTAATATGCAATTAATCTACTATAAAAATTTCAATTCAAAATTCATCTGTTTGATATGATTTCTTGATTTTTAACGTTTATAGCTACGTACAGAATTTCATACTTAGAAATTACACCCTCAACTCCATGTACCCGTTTAATTCCACATCAACTTCAAATAGAATATTAATCATAACTTTTAAATATCAATAGTTGAAATAGTGTTCACTCAATATAATAGACTTATGTAAGTCTGCTCTTAATAATATATAAACAAATCCTTAATCAAAACCAAACCCACTTATTCATTGACACAATACCTCATAGCCAAACCCAAAAACCCACCACGCTAACGATGAAACTCCAAATTAAACCACACAGGTAAAGTTTCAGCATGCTACTGGAAGTAAGATGAACAAAGATTGAGTACCTACTAGTCCACTCAGACTAAGTTAAGCGGCTGCTCCCTCTCTCTCTCTCTCCGTCTCTCTCTTCTTGCCTCACTCTTAAGGGTTATGACTGCTATGAATAGGAACTCAAAGTTGCGGCTATTAGGGTTTGTGTTTATTTTATTTTATACTACTTGTGGGCACACATAAGTCAAATAAATAGATAAATATACAAATATATATATATATATATATTATAAGTTATATGAAACTCAAATGGTAAGAGCCTTATTTAATAATTTTGTGGCCTAGAGTTCAAGTCACACCCTCTATTCTTTTTTTTTCTTTTTTTTTAATAATAAATCTTGCCTCTAAATTAAAGACTTTCACCATAAATTTATTTTAGGTTTAAAATTAATTAAAAGATCCTCCAATAATATTTAATTTTCACTTTAGGATTCACCACCAAAATATTTGAGATTGTAATATTATTATTTAATTATTTACTTAATTTTTATATTCGAGTTCTTACATCAAGTATTTCTTTACTCAGAAGTAACTTAATATGTGGCAAAGACGGTGGTTAGAACTCATCAAAGATTATGACTTGCAGATTCATTAGCATCTCGGCAAAGCCAACATGGTAGCAGATGCTCTTAGCAGGAAGTTAATGGAAAATCTAGCATGTTTGCTTACGGAGTGGAACGAATTATTATTTGACTTGGAAAGAATGGAAGTGGAAATTATGATACATGAACAGCGTGGAATGTTAGCCATAATGTCAGTACAACCGGCTATCATTGAAGAAATTAAACAAAGGTAATTGGAGGATGAATTTCTCAAGAAAGTATGTGATGAGATGGAAACGAAGCCAAGACTAGGATTTTCTTTGGAAGCTCAAGTGTTGAAGTTTGAAGGAAGACTGTGTGTTCCAAATGTTCTAGAAATTAAAGGAAAAGTTTTGGAAGGCGCTCACAAATCCAAATTTGCTATGCATCCTGGAAATACTAAAATGTATCAAGACCTCAAGCAAACCTTTTGGTGGCCTAATATGAATAGAGAAATTGTAGATTTCAAAATGTCTTTAATGTCAGCAAGTGAAAATGAAGCATGAAAGACCAACGAGTTTACTTCATTCTCTCCCTATTCCAGAATGGAAGTGAGAGCACCTAACTATGGATTTTGTCGTTGGCTTACCCCGAACACCTCAAGGCATGGATTCTATATGGGTTATCGTGGGTAGATTGACCAAGTCTGCTCACTTTTTGCCTATGAAAACTGTTTATAATGCGGATAGACTTGCTACTGTATACGTCAATGAGATTATTCGATTGCATGGTGTTCCAATTTACACTTTGTCGGATAGAGATTCAAAATTTGTGTCAAGATTTTGGCAAAGCTTACAGAAAGCATTAGGGACGGAATTGCGGTTCAGTACCACATTTCATCCACAACCTGATGGGCAGTCTGAAAGGACTATACAGACGTTGGAGGACAAGCTTCGAATGTGTGTTTTAGATTTCCATGAGAGTTGGGAAACTTATCTACCTTTGGTAGAATTTGTGTATAACAACAGTTTCTACTCTAGTATAGGAATGGCACCATATGAAGCTTTATATGAGAGAAAATGTCGATCTCTGGTTTGTAAACCAAAGTTTGGGATAGAGCATTGACTGGGCCTAAAATTTTGCAAATTACTACTGAGAAGATCAAGATCATCCAGCAGAGATTGATAACTGCTCAAAGGTGACAAAAAAGCTATATGGACCAAAGAATGAGGGACTTAGAATTTGAGGGTGCGGATCATGTTTTTATCAAAGTCACTCCAATGAAAGGGCAAACAAGATTTGGGAAAAAGGGGAAATTGTCACCCTAGTACATAGGGCCATTCCAAATTTTAGAAAGATTGGGCCCGGTTGCCTATTGAATTGCTTTAACACCCCAATGAGATTATTCGATTGCTTGGTGTTCCAATTTACACTTTGTCAGATAGAGATTCAAAATTTGTGTCAAGATTTTGGCAAAGCTTACAGAAAGCATTAGGGACGGAATTGCGGTTCAGTACCACATTTCATCCACAACCTGATGGGCAATCTGAAAGGACTATACAGACGTTGGAGGACAAGCTTCGAATGTGTGTTTTAGATTTCCATGAGAGTTGGGAAACTTATCTACCTTTGGTAGAATTTGTGTATAACAAAAGTTTCTACTCTAGTATAGGAATGGCACCATGTGAAGCTTTATATGAGAGAAAATGTCGATCTC